TTCTTTGCATCCCTGGCTACCTTTACTTCACTATCCACTCATTGTCGCATTCATACCGAAGGTATGAGGTAACCGACATTCAGCACTAGAGACCGACAGGTCCTTCAAAATACAGTAACCTTTGCTGTCAAACCGTTTCTATTTTTACCAAACACTTGCAAACAAATACTGATACGCAGAATTTATAGTTTATTTTATTTTGTCACGAACCTCAAATAATTTATCACGAAAATGCTTGTTAGTCACAACGCGCTGTGCTTTCGTACATCGTATACTGCGAACAGTTTCATCATTCTTTTTGTTCAGAAACATTCCTTTAGCTTAGCCTCTTTTCTTGAATCAATAAACAGCGCATCCCGATCTCTTAGCTCATGATGCATGCGGGCTCCTTCGCTTTGAAATTCAACTTCTATTACGAGCTAGCTTCGTTATGGTAGCTATGTTGTGAGCGGAGCCCTCGTTTGCAAACGATATGGATTGGGAAGGAATTGAACCATTCATTCTTCGAAACCGGACGCAACGTGCTAGCCGTGTGTCTGTATGTGCGTCTGTCACGCAGTTTCATCTCAAGACCTAAAAAAGCTGCAGGGCTGAAATTTCGGGAAATTAATCTGCATGCGCGTACTGGCCCCAATCCCCAGAATGAGCGCCACTACCCGCGTGGTACCCGCGTACGGGCCCACCAAAATTTTTTCCGGGTAGGTTCATAACTTGGGGATCTGAGAAGCTAGAAAGCTGAAATCTTAAGTGGATATTTCCCGTCCAAGTAGGTGAGCTCAAACCCAGCCCCCGGGCAAGTGTGGTACCCGCGTAAGTGCTCGTGAAATTTTTTTTCAGGTAAGTTAATAACTCAAGAACCTGAAAAGCTAGAAGACTGTAATATTAAGACGATATTCCCCGTCCACATTAGTCTCAAACAACTCAAACCCAGCCCTCGGGTATGCATGGTACCTACGCACGGGTTCACCAAAGTTTTCCTCGAGTAAGTTCATAGCTCGAGAATCTGAAAAGCTAAAAGACTGTAGTTTTAAGAGGATGTTCCCCGTCCAAGTAAGTCTCAACGAGCTCAAACCCAGGTATCGGGTATGCGTGGTGCCCACGTGCGAGACCGTAAAAGTTTTTTTCCAGTAAATTGATAACTCAGGGGCCAGGAAAACTAGAAAGCTTAAATTTTAAGGGGGTGTTTCCTGCCAGTCTCAATTTGTTTAGCTAGAAGCATTTGCTGAAAAAACCGATGCCAGTAGCGACAAAAACTGCGGGGAACTATGCAAAAAACGCATCTTCGCACGAGCATCCCGTGCGTTGGCCAATTATTTTTTTATGCACTTTCTATGCCTGTTCAGCATCGTAAGATTTCTGCTTATCGTAAGCGTGGCACATTTTAAATCTTTTTTTTTTACATCAGAACGTAACCATAGCTTGTTGTTGGTTGTTATATGTGTTGCACCCAGCTTGCTGGCTCTTAAAATCTTTTCCCATGCATTTTTCATACATCGTCGTTCCATCGTTGCGAAGAGACGTGCAGGCAGTTTAGAGGTATTTTTCTGGTTAGGTTGGCTCTCATTGTGCGGTTGTTTTCAGGTCAATGGTCCAGATGGCGAGTGAGAGTGCCGGTGATGTTTCGATCGCAGAAGACGATTTGATTATGCGTAAATTTGGGATGCCATTAGAAGAGCTGTACAAATTAGCGATAAGTTACTATCGAGGTGAGTTCTGTGTGGCGTGTGCGTTAAATTCTTCAGATTACTTTAAATTTTCTGCGAAAAAAATCTTTTGGTGAATTGGAATGCTCGTTGGTTTTTGGCCAGCTTATTCGTCCGGGCTGTTTCAGAGAAAAGCAAAAGTGGCGAACTTACGGTCCCGTATGAAAAACGGTTACTGTTCATGGCATATTCGAAACAAATTCGCCATGGTCCCTATAATGCGGCAACAGATGATTATGGCTGGTTTGATTTCATTGGCAGCGATCGAACGTAAGATGATGTTCTCGCTTTGAATAACTACAAATTTAAGATGTTCCAAGCATGCGATAAACAGAAATCTTACAGAACTACGATACGGAATAGGCATAGGGAGTACGCGAAAAAAAAGATTATCTGCCGACCCCCGAAAAGATGTCACACACACACACACACACACACACACACACACACACACACACACACACACACACACACACACA